TTGTTGGCTGCTTTTCCTTCACTCTGCGGTCCACCTCATCCCAAACCATCTCAATTGGGTTGAGGTCGGGTGATTGTGGAGGCCAGGTCCTCTGATGCAGCACTCCATCACTCTCCTCCTTGATCAACTAGCCCTTACACAGCCTGGAGGTGTGTTGGGTCATTGTCCTGTTGAAAAACAAATGATAGTCCCACTAAGCTCAAACCAGATGGGATGGCGTATTGCTGTTCGTTAGGCCTACTCATCTTGTTAGCTGACAAAAAGTAAATGTGGACAGTTCTTCCAATATCTTCAATATGCGCCTCGGAATTGGGTAAGGACGCGCGCAGTTGCGTCCCCGATGTGCCTGTCTTCACTTGTAGCCCGTGAGAAAGACCCAATCACGTGACAGAGAGCCATGTGCGTGAGAGGTGCTTTGGCATGCAGCCGGGAGAAGGGAATTATTAATAATTATTATATTCAAATCAAATTTTATTGGTCACATACACATATTTAGCAGATGTTATTGCGGGTGTAGCGAAATGCTGGTGTTCCTAGCTCCAACAGTGCAGTAGTATCGAACAATTCAAAACAATACACAAATCTAAAAGTATGGAATTAAGAAATATATAAATATTAGGACAAGCAAATTCAGAGTGGCATTGACTAAATTACAGTAGAATAGAATACAGTATATACAGTTGAAGTCAGAAGTTTACATACACTTAGGTTGGAGTCATTAAAACTTGTGTTTCAACCACTCCACAAATGTCTTGTTAACAAACTATAGTTTTGACAAGTCGGTTGGGCCATTTACTTTGTGCATGACACAAGTAGTTTTTCCAACATTTGTTTACAGACAGATTATTTCACTTATAATTCACTGTATCACAATTCCAGTGGGTCAGAGGTTTACATACACTAAGTTGAATGTGCCTTTTAAACAGCTTGGAAAATTCCAGAAAATGATGTCATGGCTTTAGAAGCTTCTGATGATTAGCTTCTGGTTAATTGACATCATTTGAGTCAATTGGAGGTGTACCTGTGGATGTATTTCAAGGCCTACCTGCAAACCCAGTGCCTATTTGCTTGACATCATGGGAAAATCAAAAGAAACCAGCCAAGACCTCAAAGAAATTGTAGGCATCCACAAGTCTGGTTCATCCCTGGGAGCAATTTCCAAATGCCTGAAGGTAACACGTTCATCTGTACAAACAATAGTACGCAAGTATAAACACCATGGGACCACGCAGCCGTCATACCGCTCAGGAAGGAGACGCATTCTGTCTCCTAGAGATGAACGTACTTTGGTGCGAATAGTGCAAATCAATCCCAGAACAACAGCAAAGGACCTTGTGAAGATGCTGGAGGAAACAGGTACAAAACTATCTATATCCACAGTAAAATGAGTCTTATATCGACATAACCTGAAAGGCCGCTCAGCAAGGAAGAAGCCACTGCTCCAAAACCGCCGTAAAAAAGCCAGACTACGGTTTGCAACTGCACATGGGGACAAAGATCAAACTTTTTGGAGAAATGTCTTCTGGTCTGATTAAACAAAAATAGAACTGTTTGGCCATAATGACCATCGTTATGTTTGGAGGAAAAAGGGGGCTCCTTGCAAGCCGAAGAACACCATCCCAACCGTGAAGCACGGGGGTGGCAGCATCATGCTGTGGGGGTGCTTTGCTGCAGGAGGGACTGGTGTACTTCACAAAATAGATAGCATCATGAGGAAGGAAAATGATGTGGATATATTGAAGCAACATCTCAAGACATCAGTCAGGAAGTTAAAGCTTGGTCGCAAATTGGTCTTCCAAATGGACAATGACCCCGAGCATACTTCCAAAGTTGTGGCAAAATGGCTTAAGGACAACAAAGTCAAGGTATTGGAGTGGCCATCACAAAGCCCTGACCACAATCCTATAGAACATTTGTGGGCAGAACTGAAAAAGCGTGTGCGAGCAAGGAGGCGTACAAACCTGACTCAGTTACACCAGCTCTGTCAGGAGGAATGGGCCAAAATTCACCCAATTTATTGTGGGAAGCTTGTGGAAGGCTACCCGAAACGTTTGACCCAAGTTAAACAATTTAAAAGCAATGCTACCAAATACTAATTGAGTGTATGTAAACTTCTGACCCACTGGGAATGTGATGAAAGAAATCAAAGCTGAAATAAATAATTCTCTCTACAATTATTCTGACTTTTCACATTCTTAAAATAAAGTGGTGATCCTAACTGACCTAAAACAGGGAATTTTTACTAGGATTAAATGTCAGGGATTGTGAAAAACTGAGTTTAAATGTATTTGGCTAAGGTGTATGTAAACATCTGACTTCAACTGTACATATGAGATGAGTAAAGCTGTATGTAGACATTATTAAAGTGACTAGTGTTCCATTATTAAAGTGGCCAGTGATTCCATGTCTATGTACAGTGAGGGGGAAAAAGTATTTGATCCCCTGCTGATTTTGTACATTTGCCCACTGACAAAGACATGATCAGTCTATAATCTTAATGGTAGGTTTATTTGAACAGTGAGAGACAGAATAACAACAAAAAAATCCAGAAAAATGCATGTCAAAAATGTTATAAATTGATATGCATTTTAATGAGGGAAATAAGTATTTGACCCCTCTGCAAAACATGACTTAGTACTTGGTGGCCACCAGGTTTGCACACATCTCAGGAGGGATTTTGTCCCACTCCTCTTTACAGATCTTCTCCAAGTCATTAAGGTTTCGAGGCTGACGTTTGGCAACTCGAACCTTCAGCTCCCTCCACAGATTTTCTATGGGATTAAGGTCTGGAGACTGGCTAGGCCACTCCAGGACCTTAATGTGCTTCTTCTTGAGCCACTCCATTCTTGCCTTGGCCGTGTGTTTTATACAGGTAACGAGTTCAAACAGGTGCAGTTAATACAGGTAATGAGTGGAGAACAGGAGAGCTTCTTAAAGAAAAACTAACAGGTCTGCGAGAGCCGGAATTGTTACTGGTTGGTAGGTGATCAAATACTTATGTTATGCAATAAAAAGCAAATTAATTACATACAAATCATACAATGTGATTTTCTGGATTTTTGTTTTGGATTCCGTCTCTCACAGTTGAAGTATACCTATGATAAAAATTACAGACATGCTTTGTAAGTAGGAAAATCTGCAAAATACTTGTTCTCCCCACTGTATATGTTGTGAAGTTACATTTACATTTTAGTCATTTAGCAGACGCTCTTATCCAGAGCGGCTTACAGTTAGTGAAGTCATACAATTTTTTATTATTTTTTTCATACTGGCCAGGGTTGTGGGAATCGAACCCACAACCCTGGCGTTGCAAATGCCATGCTCCAACTGAGCTACATCCCTGCCGGCCATTCCCTCCCCTACCCTGGACGACGCTGGGCCAATTGTGCACCGCCCCATGGGTCTCCCGGTCGCGGCCGGCTACGACAAAGCCTGGATTCGAACCAGGATCTCTAGTGGCACAGCTAGCAGTACCTTAGACCACTGCGCCACTCGGGAGTCACAAGTTGTTAGATATTACTTGTTAGATATTACTGCACTGTCGGAGCTAGAAGCACAAGCATTTCGCCACACCCGCTATAACATCTGCTAAACACGTGTATGTGACAAATAAAAATGTATTTTATTTGAGTATGCTATTCTGTTCTTCTGAAATAGACTGCATTTTCTTCATATCATGTTTCTTTAGACCGGTCTAAAATAAAATATGGATTTATTGTGATGGTGTAGGCTATATTACATTGATTTATTAGACATCAGTGGCTTGTAAGCGATGCGTGGAAGCCAGGAGATGCTAAATGTGTTTGTTAATTAACTGTAAATTACCGTGAGACCGGTAGTTATTTGCTTGACAATCACCGGTTGACAGAATTTCATGACCACCACAGCCCTAACCAGAGCAGACCTTTAAACTTCCATACAGACGGCCCATCCCAGCGTGAATAAAGCTGGTTTCTGTTATCACATGATTATACTGCTCTCTCTCCCCCTCGCCCTCTCTCTCCTTCTTTCTCTCCTCCCTCCATCTCTGTTCTTTCTGTCTCTGTCTGTCTCTGCTCTCTCTCCATTTGCCTCTCTCTCCAGGACATGTTGAGTCGCAGGCCTGCCTGCCAGCACACAGACCGCCGAGGTGGTTCTAATTGAGTAATGATGAGTTGGTGCTCTCTCCAAAAACCCAAAGATGACTCGAGGGCCACAGCTCCCCCCCCCCCCCCATCCTTTGCACAAAAACCCAAGCGACTCTGAGCGTGGTAGAGTTATTCTTCTGGAGGAGTATATGGCATTTGATTCTCCTGCCACCCACCTCCAAAATATTGGAATACATTTGTTTTGTGGTTTTGTAGTCTATATTTTTTATTTGCCTATTGGATTTGATTTCCCTATTTTATTGGCTGCGGCCCACCCCATCCCCAAGTGCATATTAGTTCCATGCTAGACTGCATGTCTGTGGATTGCCTTCAGGCCTGTTTAATTGAATAATCACTGTACTATGCTGTTAAAAAGAAGAACTTCTTGATTTTAGTATGACTTGCATAGTCTGTATTTATTGCATAGTCTGTATAATTGATTTCCTTTCTTTTAAGTTATTAAAGAGCAGACAGGTTTTTAACTCTTTCCTTACCAGATACGAGAATACCTATTGGTGGAAAAAAACATTATGACAACTGAGCAATTGCTGCTAGAGACCTACCATGCATGGGTGGGCTTTGCTATTTTTCTGAGGAGTCAATTGAAATGGGGCAAAGTTGGGGCAAAGTTGTTTACATGGCCTATATATTTTATAGTTACAGAAATTAAAAACATACATTAAATAAAAACATTATATTGTGCAGGGGAGGGTCTCCTGAATGGCATTTTGAAATTGCTAAGTCCGCCCCTGTGAAAATCAACGCTCATCACTCCGAAAAATCAGTTTCCATGTTTAACGTGCAACGGATAGAGGGAGAGAACGAGAGAGAGGCAGAATGTGCTGACGCTGCGCTTTCGTCTGAACTCCCCAAATGAATAATCAGCCGCGGTTCAGCCGTGCACTGCCAGGAGCAGGAGGCTGCCAAGCTCTGGCCTCGGGTGCGGTGGGCCCGAAAAGGAGGCCCTGGCAGCCGGCCACAGGGCTTTTGCTTGTTCAGGATTTCTTATTAAATCCTTTTATTGTGCTCCACTCACGCAAAGGGCCAAGGCGAAACAAGCGCAGAGAAATGACTGGAGGGGTGGAAAAAGGAGAGCGAGGAGAGAGAAGGGAAATGGGATCTCTTTTGTTTCTCTCTTTTGCCAGTCGCTCCCTCGCTCTCTGTTGCCCCTCACTCTCTCGCCCTCTCTCTGTGTCTCCCTCTATCTCTCACTCTCTTTCTCTCTCTCCCTCTGTGACTGAAAATATGTTTGATTTACTGTATGGGATAGTTGTGGTGAGGTGAAAAGTTTTTGTCCCTCAACAGGCCGGCTGGCTCTGGTTGTGTGTCGTCTATCTGTTCACTAAGCCCCTTTCCTTTCTGAATGGTACATTCCTTCTCTAGGATTATTTCTATTTTTGAACAATGTAAATGTAATGTATAGGGACTCAGTCTCTGGAGTCTAGACAATAGTGTTTTTGGCTGCCTCCAACTGCTGTTTATGGGATATGTGGTCTTCCTTGAGCAAATATCAAATGAAAAGCACATGCATTCACATTTTAAAGGACAAGTGATAGTCTGGTTGTGCAGCTCTCTGTCAATGGAGGCCTTCTGGAGTCCCATTTTTAAAGTCTTGCCAGAAAATATAACCATGGTTTGTGTTGTTTCAGCTGTTTCTCTTCTGGATTTGACCGAGCAGTTCACGCCGCCAGAAACTGCTCCCCCTACCCTGGTGAACCTAGTGGAGGCCATTGAGAAGAAAGGTACGCACTCACACACAACACAATGCAATGCAATGCAATGCAATGCAACGCAAACATAAACATACATACACAGTAAATATACAGGGGTAAACTAGTAGTCGCCATTCAGAGGAGAGGTACAATGGTAATGCATGACATTACTCCGGTATTATTCCATTATTCCATTAGTCCAAAACCTGTCTCATACCTCCACAGACTGCACTATACAGCTACACTGTAGTGTTTATTTGTCCCTGATAGTTTGATTTATTCTCACCTGTGTGCTCATGGTATCATGGAGTGATGCATTACCAACTAGACTCGGGAGGAGGTCTTCATTCACAGTTTCAGCGCGCATAGGGGAGAGCCGGGACAAAAGTAACGCGGGGCGAATTAGCACGCCCATTTTCTCAGATGATACAGAAGCTAGAAGGATGTAGTGAAGTCAGCACGTTCCTAATGCGGAGTACGAGCTCCCTGTAAAAAAAACAGCCCAGTGCCGACCATGTTTTGCCAAGTTATCTACAGAACATGTTTTTAGCGATGTACAGTACCAGTCAAAAGTATGGACACCCCGACTCATTCCAGGGTTTTTCTTTATTTTTACTATTTCCTACATTGTAGAATAATAGTGAAGACATCAAAACTATGAAATAACACATATGGAATCATGTAGTAACCAAAAAAGTGTTAAAGAAATTGAAAAATAAATTTGAGATTCTTCAAATAGCCACCCTTTGCCTTGATGACAGCTTTGCACACTCTTGGCATTCTCTCAACCAGCTTCACCTGGAATGCTTTTCCAACAGTCTTGAAGGAGTTCCCACATATGCTGAGCACTTGTTGGCTGCTATTCCTTCACTCTGCGGTCTGACTCATCCCAAACCATCTCAATTGGGTTGAGGTCGGGTGCTTGTGGAGGCCAGGTCATCTGATGCAGCACTCCATCACTCTCCTTCTTGGTAAAATAGCCCTTACACAGCCTGGAGGTGTGTTGGGTCATTGTCCTGTTGAAAAACAAATGATAATCCCACTAACCCAAACCAGACGGGATGGTGTATCGCTGCAGAATGCTGTGGTAGCCAGGCTGGTTAAGTGTGCCTTGAATTCTAAATAAATCAGAGTGTCACCAGCAAAGCACCATCACCCCACCTCCTCCATGCTTTACGGTGGGAAATACACATGCAGAGATCATCCGTTCACCTACACCGCGTCTCACAAAGCCACGGCGGTTGGAACCAAAAATCTCAAATTTGGACTCCAGACCAAAGGACACATTTCCAGCGGTCTAATGTCCATTGCTCGTGTTTCTTGGCCCAAGCAGGTCTCTTCTTCTTATTGGTGTCCTTTAGTAGTGGTTTCTTTGCAGCAATTCGACCATGAAGGCCTGATTCTCACACAGTCCCCTCTGAACAGTTGATGTTGAGATGTGTCTGTTACATTTATTTGGGCTGCAATTTCTGAGGCTGGTAACTCTAATGAACTTATCCTCTGCAGCAGAGGTAACTCTGGGTCTTCCCTTCCTGTGGTGGTCCTCATGAGAGCCAGTTTCATCATAGCGCTTGATGTTTTTTGCTGCTGCACTTGAAGAAACTTTCAAAGTTCTTGAAATTGTCCATATTGACTGACCTTCATGTCTTAAAGTAATGATGGACTGTTGTTTCTCTTTGCTTATTTGAGCTGTTCTTGCCATAATATGGACTTGGTCTTTTACCAAATAGGGCGATCTTCGGTATAGCCCCCTCAAGTATCATGCTAGCTAGTCTTGGGTCTTAGACTGGGAGAGTTACTTGAGAGACGGGTGGGACGAAAGTAACAGAATGTTAACTGAGGGACCTGGAATAAAATAAAATAAACGTTTAAGCACAGGCCGTTGTCTCCTCTAGTTCATATTGCTTTTAAAAAAAGGATAGCACAATATCAACAAATGACTGAATGTTTGAAAATGATATGACATTATTAGAATTATGCTGTAATCAATTGACTTGATCGATCAGCTTCTCACATAAGCTTTTATCGACAGGTTAGTGGTTAAAAATATATATTTGTGATTCGGGGGGTCAATTACCATGTGTCAAGCCATGGAAATGTGATAAGCATGATGAGTTTGCCATTTGTGAAGAGAATAATTTTTTTTATTCTATCAAGGCACGAGGAGTGTGAATGACAATGACAGCTGGAGCTCACCAGAATATTCATTTGAAAATGGTGAAAAACATCTACTACATTCCCATTTAAAGGGATACTTTGGGATTTTGGCAATGAGGCCCTTTATCTACAGTACTTCCCCAGAGTCAGATGAACTTGTGGATACCGTTTTTATTTGTCTGTGCCCAGTATGAAGGAAGGTAGAGTTTCACGTATCTACTCGACTTCGTCATTGTGCTAATGCTAGTTAGCATTGGCTCGCGAAGCTACCTCTAAATTACAGTTCTAATGGTGGAGGACAATTTGTCATAAAATATGGTATCGCTAACTCCATAGATCTGAGTAATTAGGAAAAAAGCGTGTTACTTTCGTCCCGGTTTTCCCCTACATACACACACAGACTCACACATACAGACACACACAGAGAAGTGCATACACAAATAACCGTGCACACACACACATAACAGTACACACACAGCCATGCACAGGCACAAAGGCGGGGCACACACACCTTTCGTCCCACTCTACCCACAATACCACTAAATTGTATGAAGTACAGTATACACGTGTCAATTTAACATTTTGGGCCGCTCTACGACATGCCCATTACACATGTTCATTTCATGTACATCGCACGTTCAATAATTCCACTCCTTCGAGGAAACATTCACAAACATTTGTGAGAATAGGTTGTCTCATTGCCAATGGCCTCTCAGACTCTTCAGTCGTCTAGACTGAAGCTGGGTGATTCTCATGGAACCAACTGAAACCATGTCTGTGATGAATTCAGCTATATAGCCTCTATAAAAACGTAAATAATTTACTATCGTGTTAATGCTCACTATGCTTGGTTTCTGGCTCTTAAATCTTATTTTTGTGTTTTTTTATTAAAACATTTACTCTATCTCATTACTGTAATGTACATTTTGTAGGACTTTACATGCATTTAATTTATAAAAATAACTAACATATTTAATTAAAACCAATGAAATATTGTTTAAAGTGATACATATTCAAAGACCGTTATCATTTCTGGGTACATTACAAATTAGTCATATTTTAGACAAAAAAACGATCACGTGTTTCTCATTACCGTAGCATTTCTTAAAGTTCCTTTACAAAATACAGTGTTTTTTAATTAGAAAAATTTGACCCATAATGCATTACTAAGAAGAGAAGATCAAAGATGGCCACAAGGTAAGCTAGTCTTTTCTCTTTTATTATGTTTAAATCTGATAATTGTCCTCGTACACCCCATTTACTCATTTTAGATTGTCATTACCGTAACTGTGTAATACTTGATGTTTGAGCAAAAACATTGATTAAACTATTTATAGTATAATAGATTAGAAAGAGCATTAATTTATGATGTAAATGTTTTTGCTGAGTCATAGAGGCTTCTGCCATTGTTAGCTAAATTTGCTAAGGGCTTCTCATGACCATAATGACCAATTCTCATTACCATGCCATATGGTTGTCTGTTACGGTAATTAGAAGTTCAGTTACGGTAATGATAAACTGTTTCTGATGCATGTACAATGTAACTACATCACACTACAGTGGGGAGAACAAGTATTTGATACACTGCCGATTTTGCAGGTTTTCCTACTTACAAAGCATGTAGAGGTCTGTCATTTTTATCATAGGTACACATCAACTGTGAGAGACGGAATCTAAAAAAAATCTAAAAAAATCCAGAAAATCACATTGTATGATTTTTAAGTAATTAATTTGCATTTTATTGCATGACATAAGTATTTGATACATCAGAAAAGCAGAACTTAATATTTGGTACAGAAACCTTTGTTTGCAATTACAGAGATCATACGTTTCCTGTAGGTCTTGACCAGGTTTGCACACACTGCAGCAGGGATTTTGGCTCACTCCATACAGATCTTCTCCAGATCCTTCAGGTTTCGGGACTGTCGCTGGGCAATACGGACTTTCAGCTCCCTCCAAAGATTTTCTATTGGGTTCAGGTCTGGAGACTGGCTAGGCCCTGGCTGTGTGTTTCGGGTCGTTGTCATGCTGGAAGACCCAGCCACGACCCATCTTCAATGTTCTTACTGAGGGAAGGAGGTTGTTGGCCAAGATCTCGCGATACATGGCCCCATCCATCCTCCCCTCAATACGGTGCAGTCGTCCTGTCCCCTTTGCAGAAAAGCATCCCCAAAGAATTATGTTTCCACCTCCATGCTTCACAGTTGGGATGGTGTTCTTGGGGTTGTACTCATCCTTCTTCTTCCTCCAAACACGGCGAGTGGAGTTTAGACCAAAAAGCTCTATTTTTGTCTCATCAGACCACATGACCTTCTCCCATTCCTCCTCTGGATCATCCAGATGGTCATTGGCAAACTTCAGACGGGCCTGGACATGTGCTGGCTTGAGCAGGGGGACCTTGTGTGCGCTGCAGGATTTTAATCCATGACGGCATAGTGTGTTACTAATGGTTTTCTTTGAGACTGTGGTCCCAGCTCTCTTCAGGTCATTGACCAGGTCCTGCCGTGTAGTTCTGGGCTGATCCCTCACCTTCCTCATGATCATTGATGCCCCAAGAGGTGAGATTTTGCATGGAGCCCCAGACCGAGGGTGATTGACAGTCATCTTGAACTTCTTCCATTTTCTAATATTTGCACCAACAGTTGTTGCCTTCTCACCAAGCTGCTTGCCTATTGTCCTGTAGCCCATCCCAGCCTTGTGCAGGTCTACAATTTTATCCCTGATGTCCTTACACAGCTCTCTGGTCTTGGCCATTGTGGAGAGGTTAGAGTCTGTTTGATTGAGTGTGTGGACAGGTGTCTTTTATACAGGTAACGAGTTCAAACAGGTGCAGTTAATACAGGTAATGAGTGGAGAACAGGAGGGCTTCTTAAAGAAAAACTAACAGGTCTGTGAGAGCCGGAATTCTTACTGGTTGGTAGGTGATCAAATACTTATGTCATGCAATAAAATGCAAATTAATGACTTACAAATCATACAATGTAATTTTCTGGATTTTTGTTTTAGATTCCGTCTCTCACAGTTGAAGTGTACCTATGATAAAAATTACAGACCTCTACATGCTTTGTAAGTAGGAAAACCTGCAAAATCGGCAGTGTATCAAAAACTTGTTCTCCCCACTGTATGTGCGCAACATATACACTGCTAACCAAACAACAGTGCTAGGTGCATGCACACTTGAATTAAAGGCTAAATACACTCATATTTTTTTTAATAAAAAATATTTAGATCAAAAAATGGTCTCCTGATGTGGTTTAAGCAATGTTAGCATATCCAATTTGGTTGTTTTTCTATAAAAAAACTTTTTTTTTTTTTTTTTTTTTTTGCGAAAACCTGGATAACAAATCTGAACAACCACCACCAGCTTTTCTAGGTCCTTTTTTGACGCACCTGACCAGACAACTGGGCAATAGTCAAGATGGGACAAAACCAAAGCTTGCAGGACTTGTTTGGTTGCATCTGTTATAAAAGAATGACCCTTTCACGTCTCACCACTGCAAAAAAAATATAGGGAAACACTGAGTTACCATTTTATAATTTAACATTACACTTAAAAATCTAAAGTTTGTCTGTTTTCAGAAATCAAAAGTGGTCTTCTGTCAACAAATGTCCCCATCCTAGACCATCTGTGATTTGTAGATCCAGCTCGGTGTATGCAAACAATCCAAAATGAATGGAAAATATGAGGACCAAATAATTTCCAGATTTGTTGTGTTCATCTTTTCCACTAAAGACAAAGGTCCTTAGTGTTATATCAGATTTTAAACTGTCATGGTCAAAGCATATTTATTCTGTTGTAAAGATGGGGAGAGATTTGTCTGTGATGAAGAGATGTTTTGCTTTTATAACATTTAGATGCAGCCAAACAAGTCCTGCAAGCTTTGGTTTTGTCCCATCTTGACTATTGCCCAGTTGTATGGTCCGGTGCATCAAAAAATGACCTAGAAAAGCTGCAGCTGGCCCAGAACAGAGCAGCACGTCTGGCCCTCAAATGTTCTTGGAGGGCCAATGTCAATAACATGCAGGTCAGACTCTCCTGGTTCAGAGTGGAGGAGAGATTGACTGCATCACTGTGTTTAAGGCTCCTGAGTGGCGCAGTGGTCTAAGGCACTGCATCGCAGTGCTAACTGTGCCACTAGAGATCCTGGTTCGAATCCAGGCTCTGCCGCGACCGGGAGACTCATGGGCGGCGCACAATTGGCCCAGCGTTGTCCAGGGTAGGGGAGGGAATGGCCAGCAGGGATGTAGCTCAGTTGATAGAGCATGGCGTTTGCAACGCCAGGGTTGTGGGTTTGATTCCCATGGGGGGCCAGTATAAAAAAATATGTATTCACTAACTGTAAGTCGCTCTGGATAAGAGCGTCTGCTAAATGACTAAAATGTAAAATGTTTAAGAGAGAGTATTGACATGCTGAAAGTACCGAATTGTCTGTACAGCCAGTTAAGACACAGCTCAAAACCTATACATCCCCCCCCCCCACAAGACACGCAATCAGGGGTCTCTTCACAGTCCCCAAGTCCAGAACAGAGGCTGGGAGACTCACAGTACTGTTTAGAGAAATGACTATATTTAATTGTCTTCCACCTCAGGCAAGCAATAAAATCAGTTTTAAAAAAACAGATAAACCGTAGTGTTCTTAGTTAAAATGTGTGTTGCTGTTCCTGTCAATTAGTGTACTGTATTTTGTCATGTTCTATGTTTTGTGTGGACCCCAGGAAGAATAGCTTCTGCTTCTTGAACAGCTAATGGAGATCTGAACAAAAAATAAAGCAAACATTTGGAGTTGAGGCATATAGCATGATGTTCTAATTGCTGCCAAGTGATGTGTACTCTTCGTGACATTACATTTACACTTGAGGTCTTAACACATCTGACCAACCTTGGTATAAACTGTGTTAAAGGGACATTACATTACATTTACATTTTAGTCATTTAGTAGACGCTCTTATCCAGAGCGACTTACAGTGAGTGAGTGCATACATTTTCCATACTGGCCCCCCGTGGGAATCGAACCCACAACCCTGGCGTTGCAAGCGCCATGCTCTACCAACTGAGCTACAGGAGGCCCTATTACACTCAAAAATTCAAAGATGAATTGTCATGATGAATACAAGATGATGCCGAACAATTTTCCCTTTAATCTTTTTTGGCACTGAGCAAATTTCAGGTCTGCTGAGCACAAACTTGAACATTGAAAATTCTGTGCAACTTCCAGTGAGCATTTACTGTGAACACTGAGGCTGTACCCGCTTTAAGTTACAGTTTTAACAGTGCACAGTAGGCTACTGTGGCTATTTGATCATAATGTAGGGCAGAGTGGCCTACCATCAAAAACAATGGAGAAAATGCATCCCATAACATTTTAACATGGAAATAGCTGTTCTATCATTCAGCCTAAGGTAGCATCCAATGTGTGGTGTTCAATGTAGGCCTACATTCCATGAGACATGCAGGGCTTGACATTAACCTGTTTATCCACTTGCCCTTCAGACAAGGTGACTGAAAATGTTGTGTTTAATGCAAGAAACCACTTTACAAAATAAAATGCATTATTATTCCCATATCATTTATTATACAGAATCAGACAAATTATGCTACGCTCTGTCTATTGGCTACTTAGCTTATTAAAAAAAGGTCTTTACCAGACTCGCTTTTCAAAGATGTCTAGAAATGTATACGTTTTGTCTCACTAACTAGCAAAGGATATGAACTAAATGTGCACACGTGGCTACATGCAGCTCTTGCTTTGATCTCAAAACAAGCGCATCTACTCACGACCACTTATGCTGTAAACACAGTCCAGTTCAAAGTAAATGGCACAGATCCATACAGTGAGGGGAAAAAAGTATTTGATCCCCTGCTGATTTTGTACGTTTGCCCACTGACAAAGAAATGATCAGTCTAGAATTTTAATGGTAGGTTTATTTGAATGGTGAGAGACAGAATAACGACAAAATAATCCAGAAAAACACATGTCAAAAATGTTATAAATTGATTTGCATTTTAATGAGGGAAATAAGTATTTGACCCCCTCTCAATCAGAAAGATTTCTGGCTCCCAGGTGTCTGTTATACAGGTAACAAGCTGAGATTAGGAGCACACTCTTAAAGGGAGTGCTCCTAATCTCAGCTTGTTACCTGTATAAAAGACACCTGTCCACAGAAGCAATCAATCAATCAGATTCCAAACTCTCCACCATGGCCAAGACCAAAGAGCTCTCCAAGGATGTCAGGGACAATATTGTAGACCTACACAAGGCTGGAATGGGCTACAAGACCATCGCCAAGCAGCTTGGTGAGAAGGTGACAACAGTTGCAAAAATGTATGCACGCATGACTCTAAGTCGCTTTGGATAAAAGCGTCTGCTAAATGGCTTATTATTATTATTATTAAATGGAAGAAACACAAAATAACTGTCAATCTCCCTCGGCCTGGGGCTCCATGCAAGATCTCACCTCGTGGAGTTGCAATGATCATGAGAATGGTGAGGAATCAGCCCAGAACTACACGGGAGGATCTTGTCAATGATCTCAAGGCAGCTGGGACCATAGTCACCAAGAAAACAATTGGTAACACACTACGCTGTGAAGGACTGACATCCTGCAGTGCCCACAAGGTCCCCCTGCTCAAGAAAGCACATATACATGCCCGTTTGAAGTTTGCCAATGAACATCTGAATGATTCAGAGGAGAACTGGGTGAAAGTGTTGTGGTCAGATGAGACCAAAATGGAGCTCTTTGGCATCAACTCAACTCGCCGTGTTTGGAGGAGGAGGAATGCTGCCTATGACCCCAAGAACACCATCCCCACCGTCAAACATGGAGGTGGAAACATTATGCTTTGTGGGTGTTTTTCTGCTAAGGGGACAGGACAACTTCACCGCATCAAAGGGACGATGGACGGGGCCATGTACCGTCAAATTTGGGTGAGAACCTCTTTCCCTCAGCCAGGGCATTGAAAATGGGTTGTGGATGGGTATTCCAGCATGGCAATGACCCAAAACACACGGCCAAGGCAACAAAGGAGTGGCTCAAGAAGAAGCACATTAAGGTCCTGGAGTGGCCTAGCCAGTCTCCAGACCTTAATCCCATAGAAAATCTGTGGAGGGAGCTGAAGGTTTGAGTTGCCAAACGTCAGCCTCGAAACCTTAATGACTTGGAGAAGATCTCTGCAAAGAGGAGTGGGACAAAATCCCTCCTAAGATGTGTGCAAACCTGGTGGCCAACTACAAGAAACGTCTGACCTCTGTGATTGCCAACAAGGGTTTTGCCACCAAGTACTAAGTCATGTTTTGCAGAGGGGTCAAATACTTATTTCCCTCATTAAAATGCAAATCAATTTATAACATTTATGACATGCGTTTTTCTGGATTTTGTTGTTGTTATTCTGTCTCTCACTGTTCAAATAAACCTACCATTAAAATTATAGACTGATCATTTATTTGTCAGTGGCCAAATGAACAAAATCAGCAGGGGATCAAATACTTTTTTCCCTCACTGTATATGGCAATGGTCTATTTGCATATAGGCCTACAGCAGCTCTGATTGTTTATGCCGCACCGGTCTGTGTGGCGTACGGGCTGAGTAGTGCTTGTCAATGCAATAGAATCCTACTTCGATGCATTCTGCCTACAACAAAGTTTTCATAGTTTGTTTTGTTTCGGAATGTTGCATTGAAAGGGGCTAATATTGCATTGATTCTATCACATTTGCCACAGTAAAGAGAAACATTGATAGTGTTAACAGGGAAAACTGTAGAACACTGGTCACTAACTTTTTCTGAGTCAAGATCACTGAGTCAAAATGCAAGCCGAGCAGTGGAGGCTGGGTGGGAGGACGGGCTCATTGTAATGGCTGGAATGGAATCAATGGAATGGTATCAAACAGATGGAAATCACGTTTGATTCCATAAATTCCATTCCAGCCATTGCTGTGAGCCCATCCTCCTATAGCTCCTCCCACCAGCCTCCTGAAGCTGAGATCTACCACTCAGATTTTTTTTTAAACACGACTTGTGGTCCTCTGTAGCTCAATTGGTAGAGCATGGCGCTTGTAACGCCAGGGTAGTGGGTTCAATCCCCGGGACCACCCATATGTAAATATGTATGCACACATGACTGTAAGTCGCTTTGGATAAAAGCGTCTGCTAAATGGCATATTATTATTATTATTATTATTATTATTATTATTATTAAAAAACGTAAGCCTGTGCAACATTAACCAATTAAAAACAGTACTGTAGCAATGAGGTTTGTGCAGTAAGCTATAGGCCCAATACATTATCACCGCATATTGGCTTTGCTTGAATTGCCCTGCCAATACATTGTTGTTCGGGCCATAAAAAAAAAAAGTAGCATTTCAAAATTTGAGCTAGGCTTTATGATCACGCCGGTAATATATCCGTTGTTGTATTACTTGTGAAGCACAGCTGAGTGAGCATACATTTAAATAATGTGGGTTTTATTTTTATTTTACTGATTGTGCCTGCATCTGATGGTCAGTCTCAGCGGAGGGAGGGAGCAGCAGACTGAGGGTCCGCCTCTCAGCATCCCTCCGCTCTCCCTTTCCTCTGCTTACAATGACCAAAAAGGGACACTGTCTTCCAGCTGATGGCGAAACTCGAGTCACACCAAATTATTTCTGCCTCATGTACAAATTCATGTTCTTACTCCTATGAACAGAGAAAGTAAAATATCCCTTGATATAAAAAAAAAAGACCCAAACCGCTAATAATAACAACGCAAGCCTATAGATACACTTTCCTACTCATTCATTACTGCTGCAGTGCTTGTTGTAGTGCTGAGTGGAAATAGGAAGAATGCACATTTTATGGCTTATGAAAGTGTTGAATACAAATTGTTGACAGTGCTGAGTAAGAACTTAAACATGAACTCACTCATAAAAACAGCATCTCTTTGCTGTATTCGTTGACAGTCTCTCTAGCCATGGTTTTAAACAGTATCAACTTTGCTGTAGCTTTCTTTTAATACCTGCTACGTTACTGCAGACACGGTCATCTGAGCCATCCGATTGGCCAGTGGGAAGGCAGAGTTTATGCCTTCAGACACATGAAATGGTTCAAAATGGCAACAGTTCGACTATCCGGCACGCAGGGCAGCTGAATCGGGGGCACCTACTGGCAACAGCCCGAGACTAATAAATAAAATAGGAACACAAGGCTTTATCGTTGGGCTTTTTACAGAAATGTTTGGCGATCGACTTGGTGGTTTACCCAATACATTACTGGGAGCTTATATAGAGAGGGTGAGACTGTTTTTATTTGTATAGCCTACAGTTTACTCGCCGTTAGTCAGCACCTCTTCGAACTTTTTGGGGTTTGCGCCAGCTCATGCTTTTCAAAAGATAAATACACACCCCATGCCAGTGATTTGTGTAGAGACAACTGTATGCCTCAACACCATGCATATAGGTGGATCTACACAATGAATGGCCTGGGATGAGGACTTAAAGGGATAGTTCACACACATTCTACATTTACACATTGGTTTCCTTACCCTGTAAGCAGTCTATGAATGAGATAAGACAGCAATCCATGCATGGGTTTTGTTTACCTGGTCACTGTCTCCAACTTTGTGAATATCCCTGATTTTATTATATTTTTTTGCATTTAATTTCCAAATCATCTTAAAGTAACTTTATTGAGCTATACAATCAATTTTTTACACTTTGGGATGATTTGGACATGGAACGTGAAATAGCTTATCGGAGATATCCACTTGCATTGGTTTTGTGCTATAAATGCTAAACAAAATCAAAACATGGATTGCTTAAAGGGAAAGGAAACCAATGTAATTTGGGTGAACTATCCCCATGAGACTACATTTGAGGTATGAAAACATCTGACCAACTTAAAAATATTTTATTGTAATGCTCCTTTAGGGGTTGTGTAATAATGTAGTAGTCTAATAAACAGAACAATCTGATTAATCTAAACGTCTTGTTATTAAGATTGGCAGATAAGGAAAGAAAAAGGGCTGCATAAAGAGCAACTGGACAGAAATCCAGAGCTGCTTGAGGAGTACCGTTCTCATTACGTTACAGTAATGAGAACTGACTAAAATGAAAATATACTTCATCAAATTTTATTTTTTTATATGATTTTTCGTTGTTGTAATAACTCTCCTGTATCTTTAGGCAATTAAAACAATTTGCAACATTTTCACCATGCATTGTTGTTTTTTTTCTTCTAACTTTACAAGCATTACGGTAATGAGATTTATTTTGTGCGTGGTCTTGGAAAATGTGTAAAAAAAATTTTTTATCTGATGATAAATTTAACATAGACAATAATTTGAGATGGTATTTGATCCATTACAAAATAAAAAATGTTTTGTATTTTCAAAATTGACCAAGAGTAATACCAAGTTAGCAAGAATCACCCAGCTGTGTACCGAACGACACCCTATTCCCTACATTGTGCAGTACTCAGTAGTATACTACAGTGGGGAAAAAAAGTATTTAGTCAGCCACCAATTGTGCAAGTTCTCCCACTTAAAAAGATGAGAGGCCTGTAATTTTCATCATAGGTACACGTCAACTATGACAGACAAAATGAGAGAGAGAAAAATCCAGAAAATCACATTGTAGGATTTTTAATGAATTTATTTGCAAATTATGGTGGAAAATAAGTATTTGGTCAATAACAAAAGTTTCTCAATACTTTGTTATATACCCTTTGTTGGCAATGACACAGGTCAAACGTTTTCTGTAAGTCTTCACAAGGTTTTCACACACTGTTGCTGGTATTTTGGCCATTCCTCCATGCAGATCTCCTCTAGAGCAGTGATGTTTTGGGGCTATCGCTGGGCAACACAGACTTTCAACTCCCTCCAAAGATTTTCTATGGGGTTGAGATCTAGAGACTGGCTAGGCCACTCCAGGACCTTGAAATGCTTCTTACGAAGCCACTCCTTCGTTGCCCGGGCGGTGTGTTTGGGATCATTGTCATGCTGAAAGACCCAGCCACGTTTCATCTTCAATGCCCTTGCTGATGGAAGGAGGTTTTCACTCAAAATCTCACGATACATGGCCCCATTCATTCTTTCCTTTACACGGATCAGTCGTCCTGGTCCCTTTGCAGAAAAAACAGCCCCAAAGCATGATGTTTCCACCCCCATGCTTCACAGTAGGTATGGTGTTCTTTGGATGCAACTCAGCATTCTTTGTCCTCCAAACACGACGAGTTGAGTTTTTACCAAAAAGTTCTATTTTGGTTTCATCTGACCATATGACATTCTCCCAATACTCTTCTGGATCATCCAAATGCACTCTAGCAAACTTCAGACGGGCCTGGACATGTACTGGCTTAAGCAGGGGGACACGTCTGGCACTGCAGGATTTGAGTCCCTGGCGGCGTAGTGTGTTACTGATGGTAGGCTTTGTTACTTTGGTCCCAGCTCTCTGCAGGTCATTCACTAGGTCCCCCCGTGTGGTTCTGGGATTTTTGCTCACCGTTCTTGTGATCATTTTGACCCCACGGGGTGAGATCTTTCGTGGAGCCCCAGATCGAGGGAGATTATCAGTGGTCTTGTATGTCTTCCATTTCCTCATAATTGCTCCCACAGTTGATTTCTTCAAACCAAGCTGCTTACCTATTGCAGATTCAGTCTTCCCAGCCTGGTGCAGGTCTACAATTTTGTTTCTGGTATCCTTTGACAGCTCTTTGGTCTTGGCCATAGTGGAGTTTGGAGTGTGACTGTTTGAGGTTGTGGACAGGTGTCTTTTATACTGATAACAAGTTCAAACAGGTGCCATTAATACAGGTAACGAGTGGAGGACAGAGGAGCCTATTAAAGAAGTTACAGGTCTGTGAGAGACAGAAACTTGCTTGTTTGTAGGTGACCAAATACTTATTATCCACCATAATTAGCAAATAAATTCATAAAAAATCCTACAATGTGATTTTCTGGATTTTTTTCTCAATTTGTCTGTCATAGTTGACGTGTACCTATGATGAAAATTACAGGCCTCTCTCATCTTTTTAAGTAGGAGAACTTGCACAATTGGTGGCTGACTAAATACTTTTTCCCCCCCACTGTATATAGGGAATAGGGTGTCATTTGGGATATAGGGCTCCAGTCAAAAGTTGTGCACTATATATACACTACCGTTCAAAAGTTTGGGGTCACTTAGAAATGTCCTTGTTTTCAAAAGAAAAGCAATTTTTCTGTCCATTTTAAAATTAAAATAAATACAGTGTAGACATTGTTCATGTTGTAAATGGCTGTTGTAGCTGGAAACGGCTGATTTTTTTTATGGAATATCTACATAGGCGTACAGAGGCCCATTATCAGCAACCATCATTCCTGTGTTCCAATGGCACTTTGTTTGCTAATCCAAGTTTATCATTTTTGAAAGGCTAATCAGCAAGACTTTCAGCTCCCTCCAAAGATTTTCTATTGGGTTCAGGTCTGGAGACTGGCTATGCCACTCCAGGACCTTGAGATGCTTCTTAAGGAGCCACTCCTTAGTTGCCCTGGCTGTGTGTTTCGGGTCGTTGTCATGCTGGAAGACCCAGCCACGACCCATCTTCAATGCTCTTACTGAGGGAAGGAGGTTGTTGGCCAAGATCTCGCGATACATGGCCCCATCCATCCTCCCCTCAATACGGTGCAGTCGTCCTGTCCCCTTTGCAGAGAAGCATCCCCAAAGAATGATGTTTCTACCTCCATGCTTCACGGTTGGGATGGTGTTCTTGGGGTTGTACTCATCCTTCTTCTTCCTCCAAACACGGCGAGTGGAGTTTAGACCAAAAAGCTCTATTTTTGTCTCATCAGACCACATGACCTTCTCCCATTCCTCCTCTGGATCATCCAGATGGTCATTGGCAAACTTCAGACGGGCCTGGACATGCGCTGGCTTGAGCAGCGGGACCTTGCGTGCGCTGCATGATTTTAATCCATGACGGCGTAGTGTGTTACTAATGGTTTTCTTTGAGACTGTGGTCCCAGCTCTCTTCAGGTCATTGACCAGGTCCTGCCGTGTTGTTCTCGGCTGATCCCTCACCTTCCTCATGATCATTGATGCCCCACGAGGTGAGATCTTGCATGAAGCCCCAGACCGAGGGTGATTGACCATCATCTTGAACTTCTTCCATTTTCTAATAATTGCGCCAACAGTTGTTGCCTTCTCACCAAGATGCTTGCCTATTGTCCTGTAGCCCATCCCAGCCTTGTGCAGGTCTACAATTTTATCCCTGATGTCCTTACACAGCTCTCTGGTCTTGGCCATTGTGGAGACGTTGGAGTCTGTTTGATTGAGTGTGTGGACAGGTGTCTTTTATACAGGTAAAGAGTTCAAACAGGTGCAGTTAATACAGGTAATGAGTGGAGAACAGGAGCGCTTCTTAAAGAAAAACTAACAGGTCTGTGAGAGCCGGAATTCTTACTGGTTGGTAGGTGATCAAATACTTATGTCATGCAATAAAAAGCAAACTAATTACTTAAAAATCATACAATGTGATTTTCTGGATTTTTGTTTTAGATTCCGTCTCTCACAGTTGAAGTGTACCTATGATAAGAATTACAGACCTCTACATGCTTTCTAAGTAGGAAAACCTGCAAAATCGGCAGTGTATCAAATACTTGTTCTCCCCACTGTGTGTATATATATATATATATAGTATATATATATATATATAGAAGAAATGATATATATAGAATATTACAAACCATACCACACAACACACACATACACACACATAAACAACACACACACACACCACACACACACACCACCCAGTGGGGAAAAAAGTATTTAGTCAGCCACCAATTGTGCAAGTTCTCCCACTTAAAAAGATGAGAGAGGCCTGTAATTTTCATCATAGGTACACGTCAACTATGACAGACAAATTGAGAAAAACAAATCCAGAAAATCACATTGTAGGATTTTTTAGAATTATTTGCAAATTATGGTGGGAAAATAAGTATTTGGTCACCTACAAACAAGCAAGATTTCTGGCTCTCACAGACCTGTAACTTCTTCTTTAAGAAGGGCTCCTCTGTCCTCCACTTCGTTACCTGTATTAATGGCACCTGTTTGAACTTGTTATCAGTATAAAAGACACCTGTCCACAACCTCAAACAGTCACACTCCAAACTCTACTATGGCCAAGACCAAAGAGCTGTCAAAGGACACCAGAAACAAAATTGTAGACCTGCACCAGGCTGGGAAGACTGAATCTGCAATAGGTAAGCAGCTTGGTTTGAAGAAATCAACTGTGGGAGCAATTATTAGGAAATGGAAGACTGATAATCTCCCTCGATCTGGGGCTCCACGCAAGATCTCACCCCGTGGGGTCAAAATGATCACAAGAACGGTGAGCAAAAATCCCAGAACCACATGGGGGGACCTAGTGAATGACCTGCAGAGAGCTGGGACCAAAGTAACAAAGCCTACCATCAGTAACACACTACGCCGCCAGGGACTCAAATCCTGCAGTGCAAGACGTGTCCCCCTGCTTAAGCCAGTACATGTCCAGGCCCGTCTGAAGTTTGCTAGAGTGCATTTGGATGATCCAGAAGAGGATTGGGAGAATGTCATATGGTCAGATGAAACCAAAATAGAACTTTTTGGTAAAAACTCAACTCGTCGTGTTTGGAGGACAAAGAATGCTGAGTTGCATCCAAAGAACACCATACCTACTGTGAAGCATGGGGGTGGAAACAAAATGCTTTGGGGCTGTTTTTCTGCAAAGGGACCAGGACGACTGATCCGTGTAAAGGAAAGAATGAATGGGGCCATGTATCATGAGATTTTGAGTGAAAACCTCCTTCCATCAGCAAGAGCATTGAAGATGAAACGTGGCTGGGTCTTTCAGCATGACAATGATCCCAAACACACCGCCCGGGCAACGAAGGAGTGGCTTCGTAAGAAGCATTTAAAGGTCCTGGAGTGGCCTAGCCAGTCTCCAGATCTCAACCCCATAGAAAATATTTGGAGGGAGTTGAAAGTCTGTGTTGCCCAGCGACAGCCCCAAAACATCACTGCTCTAGAGGAGATCTGCATGGAGGAATGGGCCAAAATACCAGCAACAGTGTGTGAAAACCTTGTGAAGACTTACAGAAAACGTTTGACCTGTGTCATTGCCAACAAAGGGTATATAACAAAGTATTGAGAAACTTTTGTTATTGACCAAATACTTATTTTCCAACATAATTTGCAAATAAATTCATTAAAAATCCTACAATGTGATTTTCTGGAATATTTTTTCTCATTTTGTCTGTCATAGTTGACGTGTACATATGATAAAATTACAGGCCTCTCTCATCTTTTTAAGTGGAAGAACTTGCACAATTGGTGGCTGACTAAATACTTTTTTCCCCCACTGTGTGTATATATATATATATATATACACTTTTTTTTTTAGGGAATAGGGTGCCATTTGGGATGTAGGCTAAAACAGTTCCTCAAACGGAAATGTCTGCGACGATTTCTTCCACACAGGTGGCACAGATGGTCTCTTCCGCTTTCCTCCATCTTAGCTCATAATCACATCCCTAGGGTCTTTACATTTAATGTGACCTGTCTGTCTGTCATGCATACTGTAGAGTGTTTATTTTAGAAGGATGATGAGCTAATGTGTCAAATCATCTTGATTTGTCTGCAGGTCTGGACTGTAAGACACTGTACAGGACACCTCTCGCATCCGCCTCAGATGGCCCAACACAGAGACTGAGTGGGGGTGAGTTATTATTGTTATCACGCTTCAATTGTATTTGTTCAGTTAGAATCAGTAGTTTAATAGTGATTATTATTTATTTATGTATCATTAAATCAAATCAAATCAAATTTTATTGGCCACATGCGCTGAATACAACAGGTGCAGACATTACAGTGAAATGCTTACTTACAGCCCTTAACCAACAGTGCATTTATTTTTAATAAAAAAGTAAAAATAAAACAACAACAAAAAAAGTGTTGAGAAAAAAAGAGCAGAAGTAAAATAAAATAACAGTAGGAAGGCTATATATACAGGGGGGTACCGGTGCAGAGTCAATGTGCGGGTGCACCGGCTAGTTGAGGTAGTTGAAGTAATATGTACATGTGGGCAGAGTTAAAGTGACTATGCATAAATAATTAACAGAGTAGCAGCAGCGTAAAAGGATGGGGTGGGGGGGCAGTGCAAATAGTCCGGGTAGCCATGATTAGCTGTTCAGGAGTCTTATGGCTTGGGGGTAGAAGCTGTTGAGAAGTCTTTTGGACCTAGACTTGGCACTCTGGTACCGCTTGCCGTGCGGTAGCAGAGAGAACAGTCTATGACTAGTGTGGCTGGAGTCTTTGACAATTTTGAGGGCTTTCCTCTGACACCGCCTGGTATAGAGGTCCTGGATGGCAGGAAGCTTGGCCCCAGTGATGTACTGGGCCGTACGCACTACCCTCTGTAGTGCCTTGCGGTCGGAGGCCGAGCAGTTGCCATACCAGGCGGTGATGCAACCAGTCAGGATGCTCTCGATGGTGCAGCTGTATAATTTTTTGAGGATCTGAGGACCCATGCCAAATCTTTTCAGTCTCCTGTGGGGGAATAGGCTTTGCCGTGCCCTCTTCACGACTGTCTTGGTGTGTTTGGACCATGATAGTTTGTTGGTGATGTGGGCACCAAGGAACTTGAAGCTCTCATCCTGTTCCACTACAGCCCCGTCGATGAGAATGGGGGCGTGCTCAGTCCTCTTTTTTTTCCCTGTAGTCCACAATCATCTCCTTTGTCTTGGTCACGTTGAGGGAGAGGTTGTTGTCCTGGCACCACACGGCCAGGTCTCTGACCTCCTCCCTATAGGCTGTCTCATCGTTAATCCTTGAAATTAAGTGTTTTGACTGACTGTTACATTCGTGGGGGTGAGTTATCTTATCACACTAACTATAGAAGATGGCAGTTTTATATCCAATATTTGTGAGGGTATTTGTGGTAACAACACTTTCTTTGTACAACTTGTATAAATAATACATGTTCATACTTTTCTCACACCCAAAGTGAATGACTGGCTACAACTTGCTAGTATCCTATATAAATGTATGAATATCATGCAGGTAATGTGTTCATAATGCTCCCAATGCTTTCTAAGGAATTTCCATGTGACAAATCTGATTGAGTTAAATGCATTTGGCCGGACCCACTGACTGTTTCTCTCTCTCTCTTTCTCTTTCTTCGTTCCCCAGAGGTGGGGCCGGGTAGTGACGTGGGCGCCCTGTCGGAGTGTTTGCTCCGCTACCTGCGGGAACTACCATCCCCCGTCATCCCCCCCATTGTTTACCCAGACCTGCAGGCTGCGCTGCAGCAGGGCGCCGCAGGTACGTGCCACATTTCACTCACCCCTGCTTGTGCGCAACCAGTGCCCCCCCCCGACGAAACAGACCCAAGCTATAGCAAGTAACAGAATCGCATGAAGCCGAACGAGCAAACAGATAAATTGTGTGGCGAGTCAATCATGTGCCCCCTCCTGCCTGAGAGAATAGGCCCAGTGTGGAGTGCTGGGGATGAGCTAGTCTCAGGCATCCCAGAAATGTTGTAACTTATATTTCTACCCTGGTCCCTGGTGATGTCAGGGATGGTGTGTGTGCCTGCATGCCTGTCTGCATATGAGAGAAAGAGAAGGGGGTGTTTGTGTGTGTGCTGAGAGAGTTGCTGTTTGTGTGTGTGCGTATGGGGCTGCCGTAACACGCGTGGTCTCCCTCCTCCCACAGACTGGTCCAAGGCTGTGGCGACGAGCAGCAGTGTAGGCAGGGATCTGAGCCTGGTCCTGGAGAGGGCCACCAACATACCCCTGCACCACAGCCTCACCCTGCAATACCTGCTCACACACCTGGGCAAGGTGGGCCAGAGCTCCCAGCTCAACGGCCTGGACCCTCACGCCCTGGGCCTGGTCTTTGGGCCGCTGCTGATCCGGCCCAGCTCTGCCACTAGGTGAGTAGGAGAATCCCTAATCTGACATAAGAATAAAGGAAGTTGCACACTGTAAACAATGCCTAAAAAACTTCAACATTCTTAAGTTGTTTTTTGATTTTACAATGTTATAAAGCCACTTTCACACCACCCAGACAAACACCAAAAAACCGAGTTGGGTCAGTGTACGCCGCTCTTCTGTGTTGGTTGGCGTTTGTTGTCCAATTCGGCATGTTCAATCAGAGTTTGGTGGTGTGTGCGGTGTGCAAGCAGCTTAATGGATTGCTTATTTTTAGGTGCTTTTCACTAGGTCTCAAAGTGCTTTACATTGTATTGGGGTAACTACTGTAACATCAAACCATTGTGTAGTTGCACCTACCTGGGTAATAAACAGCAGCCATTTTGTGTCAGATTGCCGAGTTACCACATAGTTAGGGAATATCCTACCACATAGCCAGCGATATTCTCTTGAGACAGACAAGAGAGCTCTAACGTCACTGGGTGAGTGAAAGGATGTGATTGTTAGATCTCTCTCCATTGTGCGACAGAGGAAATCCATAAGGCCAAGTGCTGTTACTACAGATCGCAGTGGAGCGCTTTTCCTCTCCCTCCACAGCCCCATGTGTTTCAGTGACCTGCTGTTGACTGAACATCTTATGACCATGTGTCTGACTCCCTGCTGTTGTTGATTGACAGGTGGGAGGTGGGGGAGGAGTTCCCTGCACTGGCACTGGAGAGGCTGCTGATGGAGATGGCCATGGGACAGGAAGTCCTGCACCCAGGTATTGATGGATAGATGCAGTGCTTCAAAATGGAGGGCTCCATAGAAATTAATATAGATGCTAGAATGGATGGAAATAGTGTTTTTAGAATGGAATGTATTTACGGTTGACTCAACTTGTTTGCAATTGTTTTGCAATGGTAGTTTGCAATTGCTTGGTAATTGAATAAGTTAGTGCTGATTTGTACAGACTGATAACATTTTCCCTGACGAAAGTAATTATTCTATTAATCAACTGTGATGCTTGTCCAAACCTTTCCTAACTAATGGGTGTCACTGTTTGTTTGTTTGTAGCTCTGCCAGCCATGCCAGTAAAGGTCAAAACTACAACTCCAGCCATGACTGAGACCAACATACTGACTGATTCTGAGTGGTACTGGGGGGAAATCTCCAGGTAAAGAGCCATTCATGTAACGATAGCATTTCTACATCAACAAAATAGTAGGCCTATAGTATAAGATTATAGTACTTATTTATCCAGTAACTACATTTTTGTGTTGATTAAAACTGGATCATAGTAAACATTATTGTGGATTTTACTATAGGATACTTGTTGTGGATTGTAGTATAGGATATTTAATTTGTATTGTGAAGGATGTGGTGCTTTCATGAATTCACATTTGCCTCTAACTGTGCCGTTGTGTTCCCAGGGAGGAGGTGAACGAGAAGATGAGAGACACCCCTGACGGGACGTTCATGGTCCGCGACGCCTCCAGCAAACTGGAGGGAGAGTACACACTGACCCTCAGGTGAGAGGCTGCCCCCAGTGCATTCGGAAAGTATTCAGACCCCTTGACTTTTTCCACATTTTGTTACATTACAGCCTCATTCTGACATGGATTAAATACACAATACCCCATAATGACAAAGCAAAAACAGGTTTTTAGAAATGTTTGCACATTTTATAAAAAATAAAAAAACTGATATCACATTTATATAAGTATTCAGACCCTTTACTCAGTACTTTGTTGAAGCACCTTTGGCAGCGAATTACAGCCTCGAGTCTTCTTGGGTATGACGCTACAAGCTTGGCACACCTGTATTTGGGGAGTTTCTCCCATTCTTCTCTGCAGATCCTCTCTAGCTCTGTCAGGTTGGATGGGGAGTGTCGCCGCACAGCTATTTTCAGGTCTCTCCAGAGATGTTTGATCAGGTTCAAGTCTGGGCTCTGGCTGGGCCACTCAAGGACATTCAGAGACTTGTCCCAAAGCCACACCTGCGTTGTCTTGGCTGTGTGCTTAGGGTCGTTGTCCTGTTGGAAGGTGGACCTTCGTCCCAGTCTGAGGTCCTGTGCGCTCTGGAGCAGGTTTTCATCAAGGATCTCTCTATACTTTGCTCCGTTCATCTGTCCCTCGATCCTGACTAATCTCCCAGTCCCTGCCGCTGAAAAACATCCCCTCAGCATGATGCTGCCACCACCATGATTCACCGTAGGGATGGTGCCAGGTTTCCACCAGACGTGACGCTTGGCATTCAGGCCAAAGAGTTCAATCTTGGTTTCGTAAGACCAAATAATCTTGTTTCTCATGGTCTGAGAGTACTGTAGGTGTCTTTTGGCAAACTCCAAGGGGGCTGTCATGTCCCTTTTACTGAGGAGTGGCTTCCGTCTGGCCACTGTACCATAAAGGCCTGATTGGTGGAATGCTGCAGAGATGGTTGTCCTTCTGGAAGGTTCTCCCATCTCCACAGAGGAACTCTGGACTTCTGTCAGAGTGACCACCAGGTTTTTGGTCACCTCCCTGACCAAGGCCCTTCTCCCCTGATTGCTCAGTTTGGCCGGGTGGCCAGCTCTAGGAAGAGTATTGGTGGCTCCAAACTTCTTCCATTTAAGTATGATTGAGGCCACTCTGTTCTTGGGGACCTTCAATGCTGCAGACATTTTTTGGTACCCTTCCCCAGATCTGTGCCTCGACACAATCCTGTCTCGGAACTCTACGGACAATTCCTTCGACCTCATGGCTTGGTTTTTGCTCTGACATGCACTGTCAACTGTGGGACCTTATATAGACAGGTGTGTGCCTTTCCAAATCATGTCCAATCAATTGAATTTACCACAGGTTGACTACAATCAAGTTGTAGAAACATCTCAAGGATGATCAATGGAAACAGGATACACCTGAGCTCAATTTCGAGTCTCATAGCAAAGGGTCTGAATACTTATGTAAATAAGGTATTTCTGTTTTATTTATTTGATAAATTAGCAAACATTTCTAAACCTGTTTTCGCTTTGTCATTATGGGGTATTGTGTGTAGATTGAGGGGAAAAAACTATTTAATCAATTTTAGAATAAGGCTGTAACGTAACAAAATGTGGAAAAAGGGAAGGGGTCTGAATACTTTCAGAATGCACTGTATAGATGTTATGTAAAGAGCAGAGGACTATTAACATTACCATTCCTGAACCTCTGTGAATAGTTGATTCTGTGTATGACTTTTTAATCTCCTTTTTGAATGTGGAATGTTCGTTTACTATTGCGATACTTGGGACCCTTGTAGCTCAGTTGGTAGAACATGCAACGCCAGGGTTGTGGGTTCGATTCCCACGGGGGACCGGTACGAAAATGTATGCACTCATTACTGTAAGTCACTCTGGATAAGAGTGTCTGTTAAATTACAAAAAAATGTAAATGTAAAATGTCTTGGGTTCACATTTGAAAAATACCAAATAATTAAAAGAATGCTACAGAATGGATGTTATGGAAAGAACTAGTCACTTTCTAAAGAACCTAAAAGACTAGTTTCTCAACCGCTCCCCAACCGCTCCCCAATCGTTCCCCAATCGTTCCACAGGAAAGGTGGAAACAACAAGCTGATCAAGGTGTGCCACCGGGGAGGTCGCTATGGATTCTCGGAGCCTCTCACCTTCGTCACGGTGGTGGAGCTCATCAACCACTACCGCCATGAGTCCCTGGCCCAGTACAACGCCAAGCTTGACACCCGGCTACTCTACCCTGTCTCCAAATACCAGCAGGTACATACACTACATGTACAACAACTGAACAACATACAATTGTCCATCGAAAGGAACATTTTATTTTTGCTGGCCCACCTCCTCTTGAGGCTCCAACCACCCCAACACCCTCCTGTAATTGATACTATGGTCATATTTGTGACATTTGTGAGGGGTTGCCATTTAGTCACCTCCAGTTCCAGGATAATACAATGAAGTTAGAGTGCAAGTTGGAATGTCCTTTTCATGGAACTTTTGATGCTAAAATTGAGAAAATATAGTTCCTGCTGAATTTGTATTGCTGTCTTCCGTCCTGAGTGGCTGCTTGGTGAGTATTTTGACTGACTGTTGGCTGACGTCAGAACCTTTATATTTAGAGAGTTAGGACATTGAGGTTTCTGCATTATGATGCATTTACATGACACTACATTCCATGGCAGCCATGTTAGCTCCCCATGGGCAATGTTGACCAATAGAAGTTCTCAGAATTCTTAACAGTACTATGCTCAAGATTCTCGTCATGAATGGATAAATAGAATGCTCAAGGGCGCTAACATGGCGTCCTCTAAATATATGGCTCTGGCTAACGTTTCTCCTCAGGAGCAGCTTGTGAAAGAGGACAGCACTGAGGCGGTGGGCGAGCAGCTGAAGGTGTACCACGAGCAGTACCAGGAGAAGAGCTGGGAGTACGATGTGCTCTACGAGGAGTACACCCGTACCTCACAGGTACTATACTGTAGGGATACTATACTGTATAGAGACTACTGGTCCACACTTCTGACTTCTGGACCACTCCTCTCTCAAGCTCTGTCCCAAAACAATTATTCTTGTATTCGTCTTTTTTGTGTCCTTCTTGTATCCTTGCTCTGTAACCAATGATGTGAAGGAACTGGTGAAAACGGCATGATGGAAAATCACATGCCTCCTAACTGTCATGAGGGGATCCCCTGTGTGTCTCTGTCAGGAGCTCCAGATGAAGCGCACGGCCATCGAGGCCTTCAACGAGACCATCAAGATCTTCGAGGAGCAGTGCGAGACTCAGGAGCGCTACAGCAAAGAGACCATTGAGAAGTTCCGACGTGAAGGCAACGACAAGGAGATCCAGAAGTAAGCATTTATGTATTTTAAGCCAATTTTAAAAGTATTCATCCTCCTTGGCATTTTTCATATTTTGTTGCATTACAACCTGTAATTTAAATGGATTTTTATTTGGATTTCATGTAATGGATATACACAAAATAGTCCAAATTGGTGAAGTGAAATGAAAAACATAACTTGTTTCAAAAAATTCTACAAAATAAATAACGGAAAAGTGGTGCGTGCACATGTATTCACCCCCTTTGCTATGAAGCCCCTAAATAAGATCTGATGCAACCAATTACCTTCAGATGTCACATAATTAGTTAAATAAAGTCCACCTGTGTGCAATCTAAGTGTCACATGATCTGTCACATGATCTCAGTATATATACACCTGTTCTGAAAGGCCCCAGAGTCTGCAACACCACTAAGCAAGTGGCACCATGAAGACCAAGGAGCTCTCCAAACAGGTCAGGGACAAAGTTGTGGAGAAGTACAGATCAGGGTTGGGTTATAAAAAAATATCCGAAACTTTGAACATCCTACGGAGCACCATTTTTAAATCCATTATTAAAAAATGGAAAGAATATGGCACAACAAACCTGCCAAGAGAGGGCCGCCCACCAAAACTCACGGACCAGGCAAGGAGGGTATTAATCAGAGAGGCAACAAAGAGACCAAAGATAACCCTGAAGGAGCAGCAAAGCTCCACAGCGGAGATTGGAGTATCTGTCCATAGGACCACTTTAAACCGTACACTCCACAGAGCTGGGCTTTACGGAAGAGTAGCCAGGAAAAAAAGCCATTACTTAAAGAAAAGAAATGAGCAAACACGTTTGGTTTCCCCAAAAGGCATGTGGGAGACTCCCCAAACATATGGAAGAAGGTACAGTGAGGGAAAAAAGTATTTGATCCCCTGCTGATTTTGTACGTTTGCCCACTGACAAAGAAATGATCAGTCTAGAATTTTAATGGTAGGTTTATTTGAACAGTGAGAGACAGAATAACAACAAAAAAATCCAGAAAATCTAATGTCAAAAATGTTATAAATTGATTTGCATTTTAATGAGGGACATAAATATTTGACCCCCTCTCAATCAGAAAGATTTCTGGCTCCCAGGTGTCTTTTATACAGGTAACGAGCTGAGATTAGGAGCACACTCTTAAAGGGAGTGCTCCTAATCTCAGCTTGTTACCTGTATAAAAGACACCTGTCCACAGAAGCAATCAATCAATCAGATTCCAAACTCTCCACCATGGCCAAGACCAAAGAGCTCTCCAAGGATGTCAGGGACAATATTGTAGACCTACACAAGGCTGGAATGGGCTACAAGACCATCGCCAAGCAGCTTGGTGAGAAGGTGACAACAGTTGGTGCGATTATTCGCAAATGGAAGAAACACAAAAGCACTGTCAATCTCCCTTGGCCTGGGGCTCCATGCAAGATCTCACCTCGTGGAGTTGCAATGATCATGAGAACGGTGAGGAATCAGCCCAGAACTACATGGGAGGATCTTGTCAATGATCTCAAGGCAGCTGGGACCATAGTCACCAAGAAAACAATTGGTAACACACTACGCCATGAAGGACTGAAATCCTGCAGCGCCCGCAAGGTCCCCCTGTTCAAGAAAGCACATATACATGCCCGTCTGAAGTTTGCCAATGAACATCTGAATGATTCAGAGGAGAACTGGGTGAAAGTGTTGCGGTCAGATGAGACCAAAATGGAGCTCTTTGGCATCAACTCAACTCGCCGTGTTTGGAGGAGGAGGAATGCTGCCTATGACCCCAAGAACACCATCCCCACCGTCAAACATGGAGGTGGAAACATTATGCTTTGGGGGTGTTTCTCTGCTAAGGGGACAGGACAACTTCACCGCATCAAAGGGACGATGGACGGTGCCATGTACCGTCAAATCTTGGGTGAGAACCTCCTTCCCTCAGCCAGGGCATTGAAAATGGCTCATGAATGGGTATTCCAGCATGACAATGACCCAAAACACACGGCCAAGGCAACAAAGGAGTGGCTCAAGAAGAAGCACATTAAGGTCCTGGAGTGGCCTAGCCAGTCTCCAGACCTTAATCCCATAGAAAATCTGTGGAGGGAGCTGAAGGTTCGAGTTGCCAAACGTCAGGCTCGAAACCTTAATGACTTGGAGAAGATCTGCAAAGAGGAGTGGGACAAAATCCCTCCTGAGATGTGTACAAACCTGGTGGCCAACTACAAGAAACATCTGACCTCTGTGATTGCCAACAAGGGTTTTGCCACCAAGTACTAAGTCATGTTTTGCAGAGGGGTCAAATACTTATTTCCCTCATTAAAATGCAAATCTATTTATAACATTTTTGACATGCGTTTTTCTGGATTTTTTTGTTGTTATTCTGTCTCTCACTGTTCAAATAAACCTACCATTAAAATTATAGACTGATCATGTCTTTGTCAGTGGGCAAACGTACAAAATCAGCAGGGGATCAAATACTTTTTTCCCTCACTGTACTCTGCTCAGATGAGACTAAATTCAGCTTTTTGGCCATCAAGGAAAATGCTATGTCTTGGGCAAACCCAACACCTCTCATCACCCCAAGAACACCATCCCCACAGTGAAGCATGGTGGTGGCAGCATCATGCTGTGGGGATGTTTTTCATCGGCAGGGACTGGGAAACTGGTCAGAATTGAAGGAATGATGGATGGCGCTAAATACAGGGAAATTCTTGAGGGAAACCTGTTTCAGTCTTCCAGAGATTTGAGACTGGGACGGAGGTTCACCTTCCAGCAGGACAATGACCCTAAGCATACTGCTAAAGCAACACTCGAGTGGTTTAAGGGGAAACATTTAAATGTCTTGGAATGGCCTAGTCAAAGCCCAGACCTCAATCCCATTGAGAATCTGTGGTATGACTTAAAGATTGCTGTACACCAGCAGAACCCATCCAACTTGAAGGAGCTGGTGCAGTTTTGCCTTGAAGATTGGGAAAAAATCCCAGCGGCTAGATGTGCCAAGCTTATAGATACATACCCCAAGAGACTTGCAGCTGTAATTGCTGCAAAAGGTGTCTCTACAAAGTATTGACTTTGGGGGGGGGGTGAATAGTTATGCACGCTCAAGTTTTCTGTTTTTTTGTCTTATTTCTTGTTTGTTTCAAAATAAAAAATATATTGCATCTTCAAAGTGGTAGGCATGTTGTGTAAATCAAATGATACAAACCCCCAAAAAATACATTTTAATTCCAGGTTGTAAGGCAACAAAATATGAAAAATGCCAAGGGGGGTGAATTCTTTTGCAAGCCACTGTATTGTAAAGAACAGTCAAACCAAACCAGACCACTACAAATGAACCCCATTGCAAAAACTGTTTTCTTCCCACTCACTTCAGGATCCAGAGCAACTCGGAGCGTCTGAAGTCTCGGGTGACAGAGATCCACGACAGCAAGAGAAAGCTGGAGCTGGACCTGAAGCAGCAGGCCACCGACAACAGAGAGATCGACAAGAGGATGAACAGCCTGAAGCCAGACCTCATGCAGCTAAGGAAGATCAGGGACCAGTACCTGATGTAAGAAAACGCTATGCTATACGATGCGATACTATCCCAGCCAACATTTCCATGTGGGGCCCATGTGGGTTAATGAAGGGCTGTTCCATAGGACCCATTAGGGAAACCCAACAGGGACCCACTAAGGTTTGTCCTCAGTATCCACGTTGGCCCCACATGTGGTTGCCATGTTGGGATTTATGTGGGTTAATGTTGGGCTTACTGAGGGACGCCTGTGGGCAAATGTGTTTATAACCCACGTGGGCCCCAGGTTTTAGCCCAGGTGGGTTAAAGAAGGGTTAACACTTGGTCCCCCAAATAGGATAATAAAATGTTTTGACGCTCAACATGGCAACCACGTGGGGCCAACGTGGATACTGAGGACAACTTTGTGGTCCCCTTGTGGTTATCCTACATGGGGGCCCAAGTGTTAACCCTTCTTTAACCCACCTGGTCTAAAACCTGGGGGTCACGTGGGTGATCACACTTACCCGCATGGGTCCCAGGTGTTTACCCAAATGGGTGTGTAGTATGACCTATATGGGCAGTCAGTAGGCTGTAAATGTGGTTTTCAATTGGGCTGTCCACCTGGGACCAAACTGGTTTTGTTTTCAGTCTCCATGCAGGCCCCAGATGTTGTTGCCCAAGCAAGCTTTCTTAAGAGATGACAAAAGCAGTTATTTATAAAGGAAATTAATGTTTATTTATAGCACATGCTCAGTTCAAATACAATGCAGGAACTACGATTACAGGTATAGTTCAATCAAATTACAAATGTACACATTGGTTTCCTCACCCTGTATACAATTCCTAAAATGTGCATGTCAGCAGTGAAGTTCTCAAGATGGAGGACCTTCAGTACAGCAGTGTTCCCCAATCCTGGTCCCAAAGGGGTGCACATTTTTGTTTTTGCACTAGCACTCACATACCTTATTCAATACAAAGGCTTGATGATGAGTTGCTTAGTGAATCAAGTGTGTGAGTGTTGGGGCAAAAACATAAAAGAGTACCCCTTTGGGTCCCCAGGACCAGGATTGGGAAACACTGCAGTACAGAGCAAAAAGTGTGATGATGCAAATTATATGCAATGATCATTTAGATAATTTGCGTAGCATTTGCATCACCATTATACTTTTTGCTCTTGAAAACTTGAGCGCTAACATGCGCAGTTTTTGGTATTGTATTAAAAGTGGACTAATGAACAAAATAGTACAAGAACGTCTTTTTTGTTAAATGTCCCTTTCAGAGCACCTACCACTCCATTCAGGAAAGCTGTGTCAAGTAACTTTTGCTCCATGGCCTCTACATCCTGGACAGTATTCATAGGGAAATCAGACCCCTCAGATAGTGCTGCTGTCGCTATGTTACCACTGTCAGGTCCTCACTCTTCTTCATCCATGTCTGAGTCCGTCTGCCGATCAGAAGTCTCCTCTGCCTTTTTAAGTTTGATCTGGGCCGGTTCATAGGTAGCTGTGAAAATAAAACATTTCGGTCTTTATCCAAGGACTGTTAGCTGGAACCTAGTTGGAAAAACCCATGTGGGCTACAACATGGGTCCCTATGGCTGCGTTTACACAGGCAGCCCAATTCTGATTATTTTTCCCACTAATTGGTCAGCTCTTTTGCCAATAATTTGGCAAAAGATCAGAATTGGGCTGCCTGTGTAAACGCAGCCAAATTGACCCGTTACCATTTTTAAAGGGCTGTAGTTGGTATACAGTAACCTTATTCGTTCATGATTATTTTATCATAATTTCTTTAATTTGAAAGACTAATCTTCATATTTTGGACCATTCAGAATCAGATCAAGATCATGTAACTTTTCTGGTCAGTCTGTTCTAACAAGACGATTTTAACTAGCTCAGTAATTTAGCATGGTAATTATTTTACTTCACTTAATGTAGCAGGTCAAGTTTCTTATTTCAATTTCGTATTTTATTTGGAAAAAATAAAATGTACGACCAGATAACCCATTTTATAAATGGTAAAGGGCCCATTTGGGACCTATGGGTTTGCCTGTGTGTGTGACCCAAATTGTTAACCCGATTGGGTCCCAATCATAATTCCTGAAAAAAGAACACCAGATTGCCCACTTACAGCCCATGGAAAAAAATATTCAGGGCTCATTTGGGACCCATGTTATAGCCTACATGGGTTTTCCCATGTGTGACCCTGGTAGTAGGCCCGACTGGGTCCCATTGACAGTCCCTGACCATATTCACACCAGGTAGCCCACTTACAGCCCAATTAAAAATGGATTCCGGCACCATTGGGGACCCACACTACAGGGGTTTTACCATGTCTGGCCCAAAAGGTTAACTCAACTGCGTACCAGCTTAGATAACCATTTAGAGCCGTTGCCCAGTTGAAACCCGTGAAGTCCATATAAAACCCAGGTGGGGCCCACCTGGACATGTTGGCTGTGATGATATACGATGCTAGGCTATACGATGCTAGGCTATATGATGCTAGGCTATATGATGCTAGGCTATACGATGCTAGGCTATACGATGCTAGGCTATACGATGCTAGGCTATATGATGCTAGGCTATGCGATGAAATGCTATATGATGCGATGTTATGCCTCTTATTCTGTTTCTTTGGTCTTGCAGGTGGTTGACACAGAAGGGGACGAGGCAGAAGAAGATTAATGAATGGCTGGGTATAAAGAACGAGGCAGAAGAGTAAGTGATGAAAATTGAACGTTTGGCAAGTGTTTAGATCATGTTAAGAGCTATACCCATGGGCAGGGGCGGACTGGGACCAGAAATTGGCTCTGGCATTTCTAACACACCCGCCCATTTTATTCCTTGAGGCCCCATTATTAACCATATAATGATAATTTTGCACCAAAAAAAAACAAGTTGGACAGGTCCAATAGGCAAAAAATGTACCAGCCCATCTGGCATTTACACCTCTGCCCATGGGTGCTTCTGTAAAAATAGAATTTGAAACTGTTGCCTTGTATTCTGTATTGATGTCATATTCTGGTTGTAAAAATAAATGTTATAAAATGACATAGTTACATCATTGCAACCAATTCTGCCCACTGACAATGATCAAGTTGCCTTTCCCTAAAAGGCACAAGGCTTTTAAACCCTGCACCATCTCCCCAAACGTCTGCCGCACCAAAATAGATCTAATAATAATCCTAAAACTGTTATAAAGTATTTAGTGAAACATCCAGTAAAACGATGAGTCATTAACCCGCCATCTCCCTCCTACAGCTCCTACTGGTTGGTGGAGTACGAGGGCTCGCCCCACCACGACGAGGGCACCTGGTATATGGGCGACATCAAGCGCACCCAGGCAGAGGAGCTGCTGAAGGACAAGTGTGACGGCACCTTCCTCATCCGAGAGAGCCAGACGCAGAAGGGCTCCTACGCCTGCTCTGTAGTGTGAGTGTTTATTTAAATGTTTTCCATGTCATTTTATGTCAGTCAAAAGGGCTAAGATCATTCATTGATGGGTTGATCTATTTAAAATGGGCAAGTAGGAATATAGTATGTGGTTGTAACTAAAACCACATACTATATCCCTATTCTTACTTGACAATTTTAAATAGATGTTGTTGGCATTCCCCCAAATGACAATTGTACACTGTGCCATTGATTTTAAGGGGACAGCAAAGGGGAGACCCACATAGCTACAGTATTCTACCGTAAATCCTGTTGTTTTTACGGTAACTTAGTGTCAGACAGTTACCTGTAAGTTACTGTAAAAAAATAAGGCTACAGTATTCTACCGTAAATTCCAAAGAAACGTTGGTTTAACAGTACATTGTAAACTTTTTACAGTTGCTTTGGAATTTTAAGTAACATTTTTTAAAACCTTTTTTACAATAACTTACAGGTAACTGTCTGCCAGTAAGTTACCGTAAAAACAACAGGATGCTTTTTACAGTGTGGAGTAGGTCAAAGCTGTGTCCTGGAAAACCTTGGTAGCACATGGGTGAAGTTGGGGCTTGTGATGATTGTGAATTTCCTTTCTTTTTTTAGCTTTAGACCAACCCTAACATCTCACTTAAAATGTCGTTTTTGTGTTTAATTACTTAGGAAACATTTGTGACGTTGACCTTTTTGTTTGTTTCCATAAAACTGTAATCGCTCTGTCTCCCCCAGTGTGGACGGCGACCCTAAGCACTGCGTCATCTACAAGACAGACAAAGGCTACGGCTTCGCCGAGCCTTACAACCTGTACAGTTCCCTGAAGGACCTGGTGCTCCACTACAAGCACGAGTCCCTGGTCCAACACAATGACCAGCTGAATGTAACCCTGGCCTATCCGGTCCTCACCCAGACCCAGACCCAGCAGCAGAACCCCAGATGAGGGGCAGCATGGCATGACAACCCCCAACGGAGACCAGCGCTTCTAAAGCATGGCAAAACAAGCACACTACGTACTACAGTACCAGCCACAGTACACATGAGACAAAAAAACATATACGTGTTCGTAGACGAAAAACAACATAAGCACACAGTTATGATATAAGCTTTCAGGCCATAGTTAGATGAGCAAGAGGGAGTGATAGAGGAAAGGAGAGAGTCGGGAAGCTGGAGGGTAAAGATACTGGATGTAGAATATACTTTTTGGGGGAAGGGAAGTTGACGCCGGCTTTCAGATGCATGGTGCTGGAAAGGAGGGGTGGGGTGGAGGGTCAAACTGTTAGATTCTATAAAAAGCTTGTTAAGTGCCATAGAGAGAGCCTTGATTGACCATAAGTCTGTGTTGGGAAAGAAGGGGACTTTAGAAATATATATATATATATATACACACAGTACCAGTCAAAGGTTTGGACACACCTACACATTCAAGGGTTTTTCTTTATTTTTACTATTTTTTTACATTGTAGAATAATAGTGAAGACATCAAAACTATGAAAAAACACATATGGAATCATGTAGTAACCAAACAAGTGTTAAAGAAATCAAATAGTTTCTTCAAATAGCCACCCTTTGCCTTGATGACAGCTTTGCACACTCTTGGCATTCTCTCAACCAGCTTCATGAGGTAGTCACCTGGAATGCATTTCAATTAACAGGTGTGCCTTAAGTTAATTTGTGGAATTTCTTTCCTTAATGTGTTTGAGACAATCCGTTGTGTTGTGACAAGGTGGGGGGGGGGTGGTATACAGAAGATAGCCCTATTTGGCTACCACAGCATTCTGTAGCAATACGCCATCCCATCTGGTTTGGGCTTAGTGGGACTATCATTTGTTTTTCAACAGGGCAATGACCCAAAACACCTCCAGCCTGTGTAAGGGCTTTTTTTTTACCAAGAAGCAGAGTGATGGAGTGCTGCATCAGATGACCTGGCCTCCACAATCCCCCGACCTCAACCCAATAGAGATGGTTTGGGATGAGTCATACGGCAGAGTGAAGGAAAAGCAGCCAACAAGTGCTCAGCATATGTGGGAACTCCTTCAAGACTGTTGGAAAAGCATTCCAGGTGAAGCTGGTTGAGAGAATGCCAAGAGTGTGCAAAGCTGTCATCAAGGCAAAGGGTGGCTATTTGAAGAATCTCAAATATAAAATATATTTTGATTTGTTTAACACTTTTTTGGTTACTACATGATTCCATATTTGTTATTTCATCATTTTGATGTCTTCACCTTTATTCTACAATGTAGAAAATAGTAAAAATAAAGAAAAACCCTTGAATGAGTAGGTGTCCAAACTTTTGACTGGTAGTGTGTATGTGTGTGTGTGTGTGTGTGTATATATATATATATATAGATAAGTCCAATTTCCAGGAAACTGCTGTGGCCTCTCTTCCAGTTTGTTGTAAGATATACATTCTTTATAAAAATAGATGTGGTATATTTGGTGTATTGTGAATGTATAGATGATATTCACAATAGATCAAATTATACAGGTGGTCCTCTGTAGCTCAATTGGTAGAGCATGGCGCTTGTAACGCCAGGGTAGTGGGTTTGATCCCCGGGACCACCCATACGTAAAAATGTATGCACACATGACTGTAAGTCGCTTTGGATAAAAGCGTCTGCTAAATGGCTTATTATTATTATATACAGTATATTGATGAATACAGTTTCTAAAGGGATTCAGGTTTCCCTTTTCGTTTAATCATGGCTAGTGGAGAAATCCCTCCAAGCTCGTTTCTTGTTTCTACATTTCTGTTCTAGTCAGGGTTGGGGTGAATCCCATTTAAATTAGTCAATTCAGCAAGTACACTGAAATGTCAATTATCTTAAATGCTTTTCAATGAGGAACATTTTAAATTGGAATTTAATGTACTTTCTGAATTGAGTGGAATTGAAATGGAATTGACCCCAACCCTGCTTCTAGTGCTTTCTTTTATACTGTAGCCTGTAGCCATGATTGACAATGGTATTACTGTTATACTCGCAGAGCATCAATCTATCGGATCTTAACTCTCGGTACTGTATGGCTTAGTCTCTAGGAAGCCTATCTAGTATAATGTTCTTCTCACAAGCGCTTGCTTTTATGTCACAGTGTTACTACTACTCACGGTACTTCCTCTTTGAGCTTGACTGTTGTTTTTATTTGACACAAGCTTGATTCACAGAGCTGTAGAACATTATTGTACATAAGAAAAAAACAGATTATTGTAGAAAGCCGTTATATGACCCATATATCTACTGACGGTAAAAGGCAGTGTGACTGTCAGTCTAAAAGCTGTATTTGCTGTACATAACCATGCAAACAGAAAGTAATGAATGCTTTCCTTTCCAACTGTGTCCCCCACAGGGGAAACTGCTGGAGGATGCATGGTATCCAGCTAAACGTGAGCCAAATGAAGGATGTCTTTTCATGTAGCAAAAAAAAGATCTGATCCGTTTTGACACTAAGCATGACCACGGAGGTCTTTGAGATTTTCTATAAGTACAGTATGCATGTAAATCCTTCTTTTGGATAGTACCTAGACACTAGCCCTAGTAATTGTGCTGTTTTAAGTGTACGTCTCATGTAGTAGACCTGTATAATGCACAAACAATAGTAAGTGAATAAGAATACATGGAGATTTACAGACACACTCGCTGTCGAGTGAATCCCTCCACGGGTACTGAGCAGTACTTTTGTTGTGTGGCTTCATGGACTTACTCTGCCGACGCTTCTATTCCTTTTGCATAGCACAGACTTTGTTAGTGTGAAAACACTTCAGCCAAAATGTCAAGGTTGATTCTTGACATTAAGACAAAATCCACTCAAACTATCTTTTGGTATTTGTTTTCATTAGTCCACTGTTGATACAGTTCCCAAACATTTTAGGACTGTATCAACAGGAGACTAATAAATAATAAAAACAATTTTAATGAATGGATTTTCCCTTTTAAAGAAACATCATGTAATGAAACTGATGATATTGAGGATTTAAATTCGGTGACTTGATTTAAGTGGTGCTTTTAGATTCGTTGAGAAAGCAGGAACTTCCCCGAAGAAATAGTTTAGCTATTTTTGTAGAATTTGCATAAAAATATAGGTCATATGATGGCCGCTCCTTTTTCGGCAGTTCTAAACATGATAATTTACTCAAAGTGTGATTTATTTTCCCCATTTTTGGTAATACAGATGATGTATGATGCATAAATACTGCAATTGAACAGTCATGCAAGTGGATTGGTTAATTAGTCAGAGGAAATTAGATGAAATAAAGTAGTGTTTGTGTAATAGTCAACAGATTTGAATTAGAAATAATAATAATAAAAAAATACAACATTTTGCGAAAGGTTGAATATTGGCGAGAGCATTTTGTGTGTGTTAAATGTATTTTTGGTACAAATGTTGGTTGGAGGCAAAATGATTATAAAGGAAAAATACATTGGTACTGTTTTAATGGTGCTTTGCACAGTTCTTGGCCAGAAGACTAGACAATAATTAAACTGAGTGACATTAGTTGGGTGTCTTGAGAGGGCTATAAGAGTGTGATTCACAAAGTTAAGTGCCTTCTCTGTCTGTGTTACTTAGCTCTTGTCTTTTTGTCAGAGGAGCTTCTCTCCTGTAGGCAGTGGCACAGTGTACTGTAGTCTTTGTTTAAAAAGCACTTGCCAATGTCATAGCCTGACGACTCACACTAAATTATTCCGCTGCGCTGTCGTTCGCTACATGCTTTAGTATGATACTGCAATCAGTGAAGTAATTTGTGGTGAGGAGGGGCGTTGTACAAAAAGACATCAGCGATTGGATAGTCTCTAACCAATCAGAGTATCAACGCCAATTACGAATTTTCAAACCGCCGCTTTACCCACGTGTTTTCTGGCCCAACCCATCGGTTTCTGGACCAATCGGGCGGCCCCGAATGTATTCGCATTCGGTGACGGAGCAGGGAGGTACTCAGATCAACTCATTGCGTAAGAAATTAACGTCCGGGGGTGTGGCATAGCGTTTGGCCGGAGCAAGGAGTCTGAGTAGCCAGGCAACTAATGTCAACCCCTGAAGAGAACTGGCAAATGAGCATAGTTGTCGTCTTTCCTGTAGTGTGTGTGTGTGTGGTGCGAGTTATGGAGACTGTTTGTTTAGTTATGCTTCTCTTTTGTTAGATCATTTTTATATTTTTTGGTGACTGCTTGGTGCTCTTCAGTGAGCGAGGCAGTTTCCTTTGGGGTTTGTTGTATAGTTTATTGAATCAAACCTAGAGTGGATAGAAATGTGAAAACACAGTCGTAGCCCAACACCACGTTTTGTTTAATAAGCCGAATCTCATTCGATAAGCTCTCAATTTAATGCATGCAGTATTTCTGTGTTTTCACATTAATACCCTGTGAATTCAGATCCAGTTTACCCAGCTACTGACGTATTTATTTACAGTCTGTCGGACCATCATTTTGTGAATGCGCTTTTTCCTGTTCCACACACCTTAATTGAGTGTGTCTAAGTCTAAAAAAGTATTAAGTAATCCTAAACCGTGTCAGTGAAGCTCAGTAGGCCATGATAGTGTTTTTTATTAAGCGTCTCATGTCAGGGACGTTTTATCTGACTTTCTTTGTGAATCGGAGTGAAAAAATTGTTTGGGGTCCCCTTACACAATACATAGGGTGGAGGCATGACAAACTTTGAGATAGTAGCCGGTATTCAGAACCTGTTTTGAAATTGACATTGAGGCAAGAAGGACTCATGTCCATTATTGCTGTTTTTCATGATTCAATTGTTTAACTGTATATACTATAAAACTGTGTACCGTGTCTGGTTTTGATTGTGTCAGGCCTACCCATTTCCCATTTGAAAATGGGTGACCCGTTTCAAACCAAATGAAAGGGAAGCTAGCTAATATGCAATCAGTATATTTGGTCGGTCCTCAGCTCTCTAATGCTATATGGATATCATGGAGTCACACTAACGTCACTTGTA